CTATCTATTGTTTAAAATGTTTTAACAAGACAAAAGGTTCATTGTTTAAATCCGATCTTTAAGTTCGCTCTTTCGCACTACGAAACTTGACTCATTTAAAAAGTCGTTAATGGCCTGCTTTCGGACCCCGTTTGGGTCTTCACACAGTCAATCACTTAGGCATGTCTTTCGGTTCAACCGTTCTCGCATTTACACGTACAGTACAGTACAGTACACATCTAACTGCAGGAAGCGGTCATAGCGGATTATCGTTGCTAGACGAAAGAATTTGTAACCGATTTTATAAATTTGTGTAAAGAACATCCTTGCTTATGATGTATTAAAAGTAAGGAGTATCCAACAAAAATATGAAAAACGAGGCCGGAAATGGCTGTAGTAGTGCCTATATTCTTTCACTCAAGTACTGTACGGGGCTTTCTCCTATTTTTTGGCTATTAACTACTACATATATTTCAGCAGCAGCAATAATACGGACGCGCTTCTTTATTTGCACTCATAATATGGTTGACTCGATTAGGATGTGATCATACACTACTTGTAACTTTTGAAATGTTCAATGCCACGCGCCACGCAGTCGGATGAGAATGCACGCTGTCTTGCATTTACACATCTACGTTCTGAACGCAGGAAAGGTACGGAAAAGAGTATTTTGTATTTTTTTCACTCCACGTTCTTGCGCATCACGAACCCGTTCGTTCGTTCGCACATTTAAGAATATACTGTACCTGTACGTATAAAGGCCACTATTGGTTAAAATTCTAACTTCCCTCCCACTCGTGATGCCGAGTTTAAAGTATGATCACAAAATGTAATTTGAAATTAGATATGTCCAACAACTTTACGCTAAAATTTGGGGGTCATAGCCAACTTAACCCCCACTAGGCACATCCATGGTCATGCTATAAAAACTGCGTTTAAATAATTTTATAACTTCATTATTCCTGTTATAGTCCTTTTTATGTTTCTCTTTCATATGTCTACTTAAACTTTGCTTATACTTGTAGGGCCTACTTTAAATTGCATATACAGTACTGCATTCCATTTTCAACAAAGACAACGAAATACTGAAACAAAGACAAATCTTGTTGCCGCGATTGGCGCTGTTTGCCATAGCAGAATTTAGAACTAATATTTTTCTGGGAACTAGACTCTATTTTTGTAATAAAAAAAAAAAAACAGCTACATCTTGTATACAGCTAACACCTTGTGGGTACCGCTTCCAAGCGCCAAACTTATAGTTACCAAAGAAAACTCCCAAGAAAAATTGACTGTCTTCTAAATTGTCATAATTATTTTACGTCTGATGTTTTTGTTTGGGTAAAAAGAATTAATAGAAAAAATTTTCTACTTATAAAATGGTTACTTTATAGTTTAGTGTTTTGTTAACGAGAATAAACGAAAAGGTTATAGATTTTACATACATCGTTTGTTGTATTTGTATATAAGTATCACAATCTTGTCAAATTTGATCCTCTGGCCTTGTTTGTTTTTTTTTTTACAAAACTTGACGTGTCGAGACTCACAAAACCCAAAAAGTCAAAGGAAAAAAAATTCCGCGTGTGTTTTGGAGTGATAAAATACCCATGTTCGAATAAACACCTTTCCAGCGAGGATCGATGTTTGGTCCCCCTGTATATCAAGAATAACACGCAACACAACATTGGAAACGTATTTGCATCAACAAAAAACAGGTTCCCGAATATCAGAGTAACCAGAATCGAGTTACACACACGTGTGAAGCTCAGTTGTATCCATTAAATGCTGACACTGTTTTTGTGAATAAACATTCTCGTTTTTCAATTCAAAAAGACATTCGAAACGAATTTCTACGAGTCTAACAGCTCGGACAGATCTTCAAAAAAAGAAAAATGAGTAAAAATAGAAAAATATAATTTTGTGTTTTTACCGCCAGGAAGAAAGGCGATTTGTACGAAATTTTGTTAGTGTTATTAGGCTAAACGGAATTTAATAGGACTACTACGACACAATAATGCATTACTTGTATACGAAGCATGTAAATTTAATAAGTACAACATCTAAATTAAATTATAAAATGATTGGGATACGAAATAATTGAACGAATAAACAATCCAAACAATCTTTATTGTAGAATCTATACTTGGCTAATTGTTGGAAATCCACATTAAAAAATAGCAGAGGAATAATTAGATGTGTTTCACGTCGAATGTCCTAAATGTCGGGATGTTTACATCTACCCGGTTTCCCTGACATGCGCCCATCTGTATTGCAAGACATGTATCGAGAGTGCCAGGAAAATCAGAAAAGTCTGTCCGATATGTTAATCTCCTACACGAAAAATTAGAAAACGAGACGATCGAATCAAGAAAATGAAGAAAATCATGGCCACACATTACGCCATCTGCCATTCGTGTGGGAAAACAAGACTCTGCGGCGACAAATCACGGACTGGTGAGATGGCGCCACTCCTCTACGAGTTTCCCGGGAATCCCGGATAGAAAAACGGGAACTGGGTTTTTCCCAGAGAGAGAATTCTGGGTATTGTTGCTTCTTCTTCTTGTCGGGTGATCGCTGCCATGAGCACGTGTAGCTCTCTTTCAAGTGTACTCGAGGATTGTTAAATGTTGTTAAATAAATGTTGTTTTAGTTTAAAACGTGGTCGTGGACTTAACTAATTCACGTTTACAACCTTCTGATAAAGACAGTCTTTGTGGAGATGTAAATGGATGGAGAAAGACGGCCAGGTTTCGTCTAACCGATGGCGGCCATCCATTACCTCCAACTCTTATCGGGACTCCGTAAGCACAGGACGGGATGCAAAGAGGCCGCCGAAAATTCCAATAAAAAAAAAATTTCTGCTTGTACGAAAACCATTTGATGTGCGCTGTGCCAAAAGAAGATCGCACCAAACGGACTCTTAAAAGCGCCTGAAAAACGAGGAGTGGACGTTCCGTTGATCTGTCCGAAGTGCGCTTTGAAAAATAGACTAAATCGAGATAATTTAAAATAGACGTGGACAAAAATTTCAACGAATAATTTTGAATACAAATAACGCTTTGTTCGGTGAATTAAAATGAAAAATTTCTAAGTTTTGAATCATTAAAATTTGATTTTATTATTTACAAATAATTTCATTATTTACAGCAAAAAAGACATATACGATACTTATGTTTAGATTCTTTCTACACCTGTTCGTATAACAACTTTTTATATTTTAACGGGCAATTATTTATCGTGACATGGTTACATTGCTGGGATGCAATTTTTAAATCGTATTTTTAATTTTTAAAATTTAAAATATATGCTCTCCACCTAATAACGAGTTCGTTATATCGTTACTTCCGATTGGATAAAAGAACATCACACGGTCACTATGGAAAGATTAAAAAAAATTGTTATAGAAGTGACAAAATGAGGCTAGCATTTTTTAAAATTTAAATTTTAAATTTAATGAAGTAAGTTTAAAATACGCCAATTGCCAAAATATTTAAAAATGCAATTTAAGGGAAATTTCTTCAAGCATGAACGTCACGTGGTCAATGACGTCACTGTAACGAAAGTGCCATATCCTATCCTAAATCGATAAAATGTTTATTCTATAGCTAATATTTTCTTAAAATAATAAATAAAAAAGAAAATCAGTAGCGTATACTTTCCGTAAGAGCGTAAAACGAATATAACCAAAATTTCATCTGGATTGGACAAAAATTGCAGGAGTTATAAGGAATTCACACAAACAGACAACGGCTTTTATATTATTAAAAAGACTGGTGACATGTAGCAACTCTAAACATTTTGGCAAACAATCAACTGTTTTAGATGTAAAAAATTAATAAATTACAGTTCAAGAATTCCTTTGGAAGATGGCTAAATTTTTATACTGCTAAATTCTCTAAAGGTCATTTTGTATTTATTAACGAAGACCAATTGTCGATGGACATATATAAAGTGCTTCCAATAAGAGAAGAATATTTCTCAGACTTTACATCAGAAGAGATAAAAAGAGCAATTAAACGTTTTATATCTGGCACCTCATCTGGATCTGATTTTATTCGAACAGAATATTTAAAATGTTTCTCAGAACAATTCTTACTCACAATATTGGAAGTTTTTAATTAATTATCACTAAATTAGAAAGCTGTATAAGCCGTGAATTTAAAAACTAATAGCATCAAAAATAGCATTTGAAACTATTCTTATATTCTCAAAAATATTGTGGCAACACTCAATTTATTATAATAGTGATCGTCTGTTAAGTCGAATTTATTTTTACATTTATTTAAATAAAAATGCAAATGTTCAAAATCTTAAATCTTCTAAAGTTCTTAACTGATTGCTTTGAAATTTTGACACAACGTTTCATTCGAATACGCGCGTTTTTATATTATATAAATGTCAAAATTCCTCCCCCGCGGGGAGAGGGACAAAATTAAGGCTTACCGTGAAGAACTGTGTCTTCCATTATTCTATTTTAGATGCGGTTTTTTGCGTTTTAAAATAGGGTACTTTACTGTACGTCAAGAGAATGTACACTAAAAAGCAGGGCTGTGGAGTCGCGTAAAAATCTACCGACTCCGACTCCGACTTTTCCTTATCATCCGACTCCGGCTAAAATACCAAAACTCCACGACTCCGACTCAACAACTGAGGGACTGTGGAAGTCGCGTAAAAATCTACCGACTCAGACTCCGACTTTTCCTTATCATCCGACTCCGGCTAAAACATCAAAACTCCACGACTCCGACTCCACAGCCCTGCTAAAAAGGGATTTTTCGAAATTCCTCCGCGGGGAGTGTTATACATTTATAATGGATACATTTTGAGCCACAGCAACGCGTGGCTGGGTACAGTTAGTATTTTATATAATATAATCGCAAATTAAATTTACATTTTTATCAAAAACTATTTAAATATTGTCTAAAAATTATTATGATCAAAAATAACATTTGAAAATTGTTCTGCACTCCATAAATAAATAGATTGTGAAAACGTGTTGGCTGGCAACACTTATTCGCAATATGTCGGTCGTCTGCCGAGTTTAAATTATTTTTCTGTCTTGTGTATAAATTTAATCCCAAAGTAAATTAATAATTAATTTATAGACAAAAAATGGAAAGCTACTTAAGCGTTGAATCTAAAAAACTCGTTTACGAGGTGTTGTATGCCGTAAAATCCGATTACGATGACGATTTTAAATGGCGATCTGCAGAGAGACTTCGCGATCATCTGGTAAAAGAGGGAAGTTTGAAATATTCTTGTACTCTTCCGTTGCAGGATATATTATGCGCTTTATTGACATTACCTTCACGTTTGGGTTGGCAGAAGAAATTGCTTAATGACTTTTTTCTGAACGGAAATCATTGCGACAGTTTTCTAGTATTAGTTCGTCAATTAAACGAGAAAACGTAAGTTTAATTTCATAATAGATTTTAATATGAATTTATATAAATATGGTATAAAGTTTCATTTCTACATTTGATCTAGAATTCTTTTTTTGGATATATTGATCATATAACTTTATAGGCTGGGTTATTGTACAAGTATATGTAGAGACATTTTAACAGTGTCTCTGAACCTAAGCAGAAAGGCAAATTAGGATCCCTCTTCTGTGCAGTCGTACCTCAGGATATGAAATTAATTTGTTCCTAAACTGAGATCGTATCATGAAAATGTCGTATGGTGAATCATTTTTCTCCATATGATTACATATAAAACCAAATGATCTGTTTCAACACGAAAAACACACTCAAATTAAAGCTTAGTAGTACTGCATTTGCTTTCTTTCCTACACTTCCACCAGCACTTTCACTGGATAGAGGTCACTTGGTAAAATATCTATCCAAAGAGATTTGGCTTTGCCTACTTTTTAAAATGTTTCTAAAATGACTTAGGCAAATGTCATTAAACTGAGCAGCAATACGACCAGTGTGAACCTTTTCGGGATGTTTCTTTTCAATAAAATCAGTCACTTTCTGATAAGAGATCCTTCCACGACAAAGCAAACACGCGGACTGAGACCAATGAACAGAAGGAACATGTGATCATGGCAGTGGCGTTGCAAACTAATGTAACATCATATGGTGAGTTTTTGTTCGTACTATGGAGCAAAAATATGTTTAAATTTCATATTGTATCCTGAAAATTTCATATCGTATCCTGAAAATTTCATATGATGAAGCGTTTGTATCCTGAGGTACTACTGTATATTCAATGGCTGCATTCAGCAGAGTCAACAGTTGTAACTGAGCAAAAGTGTTTCAATCGGTACATGTTACATAGTTATGTCTGCTGAACAATGAGTGACATATGCATTGGAACTGGAAGCAGCCATCATTGGTCAGTGTCGAGTAGTGATAGGTAGCTTAAATGAAAGATGCTACTGAATGTGACGTCAAAACATCATGCGTTTTGAAACGGTGCTACTGCAGAGTGCATTTGGCAGAAAAATACTCAACAGCTCTGCAACTGTTGAGTCTTCTGAATGCAGCCAATAACTACTCATAACTAAACTAGGCACAGTTTGCAAATTCCACACTTTCACATGTCCCTAGTATGTCATAATTACCAGTTAACAAATATTTCATAATTCTGAATATGTTTCTCTATAAAAAACAAATACTTGAATAAAATATATAGCTAAATGACTGAATTTTTGGTAGTTTTGTTTTTATCACTACCAGTTGCATTGCAGTAATAATAGTTATTACTAATGTAGTTGTGCTTAATTTAGCTATTGTTAGTCATTGGCTACATTATAAACAGCCATTATGTTTGTCAAAATATTGATCTAATCAAAAGTAGTTTACTGAATAATCTTTTTGTTTAATATTAACATTATTTAAATTTATAATTATATTATTTCCAAAATTCAAACATTAATGTTCTTTCCAAACCAGTTTTAGCTGATTGAATAGTATTTTTTCAAAGGTAATTGGACCATCGACTAGTATGCTATTGATATGAGATGAGTATTTTGTCATCAACGAGTTTGAAGAAAAATTTTCAGTAGCAGCCATCTAATATTGCAGGTTGTCTATATAAAATTTTCTTGTGGGGAGTAACACTAATTTCAACTTTTTAAAATCAACTGATGTACTGCTTTGGCAACTGTTTTTTAATAGATGTTTTATTCATTTTTTAATATTTCTGTTGTTTAAATATTGTTCAACATAACTTAAGTTATGTAGATATGAATTCTTTGGTACCAATTTGTACATGCAGTGGTTCTAGATGAGGGAGAAGAAACATTGGAAAATGGAATTAGTTATATTCTTATTGACGGTAAGGGGAAATAGAAAGAGACAAATATATATATATATATACAGGGTGTGGCATAGAGAGTGGATAATCCATTACCTCCGGATACAGGACATCATATCATGACTGTTCAGGAAATTAAACATTGTGTTTAATAGAAGTGTCATAGTTTTTGAGTTATTGGACATTTTCTATTTTTTTGGAAAATGGACTTCTCTACTGGGGGTGCCTTAAGGACAAAATATACAAAAAGCCCATGACCTTGATCAAGCAGCTTCGGGAGCGAATCAAAAGGGCTGCACGGAAAATCAGTGAAGCAGGTATTGCGGGAAAAATTAAGCGATCATTTATTAGAAGGTGTGGGGCATGTGTCAGAGCCCATGATGATCACTTTGAACACTTATTGTAAATTTACAATAATAAATGTAGTAACCCAATTGATCATTTTGTTTTATTCTATCATTTTAATTAGATTCATTGGATTTCCAATTAGATTATTTAGAAGCCCAATTCATTCATGAGATTTTAAAAATTTTCCTTGATCTTTCTCAGTAGGAATATTCATTGAATTGAAAGTTACAAATGCCATTTATGCTATTTTAAATCTCAGTACAATAGGCAAATCATTAGTTAGTTTGTCACTCAGGTTACAGTACTTTTTTTTACACCGAAAAAAAACAAAACAAACATTTTGAATTACTTTTTGTTCTAAAAAAAACCAAGACTATGACACTAAAATGGCAGTTTATGTTTGATAGAGCATGTATCCAAAACTAGTACAGGTAGCCCTCGGTTTACACTGGCTCAATTTACGCCGATTAACAATAATGCCACTGCTCAATTTGCCATTTCGTGATGTAATTCCCCTATTTTCCCTATGCCAGACTGATTTTTGTTGCAATGTTTATGTATTTACTGAGCTGCGACATTGTACAGTACATTTGTTAAAACAAAGATTTTTATTGAATATATTTATTTTTTCTCTTCAATATTATTGGGTATGTATGCATTTGCATTAAATTAATATTAAAATACTAAATGTTTAGGTTCCCACGAGTCAAGTTATTAAACTTAATAGTCCAATAAATGTCGTTCGAATCCAGAGCACTAATAAATGCAAATAGTTTGTATCCCATATCAGTTCATTCAGAAAAACACCTTACGACACAGTAGCACTTCCAGCGATCACAAATTATCGTTAGTGAGATGAAATCTACTTCTCGTTGGCCAGACGATACCTACTTCTTGTCAGTCAGACGATATCTAACTCTCCTTAGCGAGACGAAACCAACTTCAATTTTTCTGTTCAAACTGACTTTAGATATGCACTAGGGCAGCCGGCAGTGGACCAATCAGCATCTCTGCTTGTCTGTAGCTCTATTTCGGGTTAGTGTATCCTTTCAACTATGGAAAGTTTGGCGGATGAACTTGTGAGTTAGACAATGATTGGGAGCAAAGTGCAAATGTAAAAAGGAGCATCATCGCATCCATTCAACCATATTCCAAAATTATTAATGAAAGAAAACAAAAATCTAAACCATTACAAATGGATACTTTTTTCCGAAAAATGTAAGAGATCTGAAACTTTGAAATGTCTTTTGAGATTTTTTAATAAAAACATTTCATTTTATTCTATCATAAAATACATTTAAAAAAATTAAATATATAATATATCTATTTTGTATTATATTGTATTAATAAACAAAATTATTTGCATATTTTTCACTTATGTAGAACCTAACCCTATACCTTGCTGTAAATATGGGTTCATTTTACGCTGATTCGATTTGCACCAGCTTTTGTAGGAATGGAACTGCGGCATAAACTGAGGGCTACCTGTATTCAAAAACAGAATGGAAAAAATCCTTGATTTGTGACCATGATATTGAAAAATGTAAATGACGGAGTCCATTTTCCCAAAAAATAGAAAATGTCCAATAACTTGAAAACTATGACAATTTTTCTAAACACAATGTTTAATTTTCTGAACAGTCATGATGTGCCGTATCTGCAGGTAACAGATTATTCACTCTTTATGCCACACCCTGTATAGTGTATTTAATAGTTACTGGAGCTGATCTGGTTTGAATCTATAATGAAACGTGCTACTATATAAGCTAGATTTTGATTATTTAGTTTGGCAATGAAATATTGTATAAATTTTTTATTAGAAAACTTTTATGAAAGATCACAAGAAGAATCTCTGAAAATATATTTAATATTTTTGATGAAATTTTTAGAATTTTCACAATTATAATAAGTTATAGATTTTTCTCTTTTGCTACTTTCCATTCTTTAATAAATAATGCATCTTAATTTAATCCCATTGCTGAAAGGTTTTTTAAAAATAAAATAAACTAAATATGTGTACAGTATTAAAATTTGTAGCTATAACTCAGACACTGAAAAGCAAGCACAATACAATCTTAGTAATCTGGCCATTTTCTACTTTGAGATATCTAGTACAGTGGTACCTCAGGATACGAATGCCCCAGCATACGAAATTTTCAGGATACGACATGAAATTCAAACATATTTTTGCTCCACAATATGAACAAAAACTCACCATACGATGTTACATTAGTTCACAGCGCCATTTTTTATTCACTTCTGTTTCATTGGTCTCAGTCCATGTGTTTACTTCGTCGTGGATCTCGCTCGATAAAGTAAATCTTAAGGTATTATCAGAAAGGGACTGATTTTATTGAAAAGAAACATCCTGAAAAGGTTCACACTGCTGTATTGCTGCTTGGATTAATGACATTTGCCTAAGTCATTTTAGAAACATTTTAAAAAGTAGGCAAAGTCAAACCTCTTTGGATAGATATTTTACCAAGCGACCTCTATCCAGTGAAAGTGCTGGTGGAAGTGAAGGAAAGAAAGCAAAAGCAGTAAATAAAAATTTTTAAAAACTATAAATATATAAAACAATGCTAATTTTTAAACATCTTTTTTAAGTTATTGTTACATTATGTTATGTAAGTTAAGTTTTAGTATCATTTCCCTTCTCCCTCTGTTCCGCCACCAGTTTACACCTCCACGTTGTCTATCCTCAAAGGTAAAGTGCAAATAAAACTACATTTTTTTTAATCAATTATTATTCTATTATGGTTATTTATACATTTACAACTACAAAATGCATTTTTCAGTGTTTTCCTTACTATAGTTATTATTTTTTAATGTACTACTCAGCTTTAATTTGAGTGTGTTTTTCATGTTGGAACGAATTATTTGGTTTTACATGTAATCGTATGGGGGAAAATGATTCACCTTACGACATTTTCATGATACAATCTCAGTTTCGAAACAGATTAATTTTGTATCCTGAGGTACCACTGTAATTCAATACTAGTTGATTTTCAGGTGTTACCAGCACTGTTATCAAGTTGTAGACAAGTTTCCCACTATTCCAGTTCTCACTAAATTTGAACACTTTTCCTCTAAGCATGACATAATATTAAAGATTTTTAGGTTCATCATCTTAGGCTTCTTGAAAATGTATAGTATCTTACAAAACAATACTGTATAAATATAAAAATTGGTTCCCAAAATTTTCCACCAAAATTATTGTACTTTCTTCTAAATTTTCCATGGTTATTTCAATTTTTCACTAAATTTACTGAGAATCTATCAACTTGGCCACATGATTGATGGTGACAGCCACACACTCGGATGTTTTGATCAATAGTTCAACTTGCATTTTGCTACATCATCGACAGTTGGCTCCCCACTGTCAAATTTGTTTATTTACTCAACTATTTTCATGATGCCAATTATATTCATATTTTTGTGTTTAAATTGTTAATTTTCCAAAATGTATAAACTTCCGATAATTTGGCAGTCTTCTTAATCTAACATTATTCTGGTCTCATATGTTAGATTACCAAGATTGTACTGTAATGATTTATGCAAAATTTCAAAATTCTTTACTTTAAAAATGATATCTTTTTGATCACTTTATAACTTATTGGGCTGCAATTTTCAGATTGCAGACCTATACATTCCCACTGTTGTCCACCCATCTGTCCTTCATTAATCACAAGAATAGAGTTAGATGAAAATTGAGACCAGATATGGAAAACTTAGGGTCAGATGCCCCATTTAACTATATATAAACTTTTGGTCTGTACTAAAGTCATGTGATTTTTTTTAAATTAAAAGATGATTGAAAATTGCAGCCCAGCATTATGAGGATGTTACAATAATATACACTTGATTTTCATTTATAAAATGTATATTTTGTTGGTAAAATTTTTCAATCTTTTTGCCAAGTTAATTTATCATATATTTACAAATTTTTAAAATTTTGTTTATTATAAATTAGAAAGTAGGTATGATTTTTATTTATTTTATTATTTTGTTTAGCTTAAATGAAGCACAAGTTGTTGATCTTCTGGAAAAATTTATTATACATCCCAACATGAAAGATATGATTTTAGAGCAATGCATTATTCAAGAATACAAGAAAAATATAGTTCATTTGTATTTTCATAAATGGGATGAAATAATTTCTTTTCTCGTCACCCTGCCTGAAAGAATGACAAAAAGATTTAAAATTAATATAAGGTAAGAATTACTGTATATCTCGGGTATAAATTTTTGTCAAAGTTTTATAGTTTTAGTATATACAGTAGAGTGCCGTTTATCCGAATCATTTGGGGACTGGGGTTGTTCGGATAACTTATTTTTTGGATAACTGATTATGTACGAAAAATTATATAAATGTATCCCATGTTGAAATTTTTCTCTGTTGCATGTCGCTTTGTGTTAAATTTTCGTCGACGTTAAGCCTAACATAAACTTTTTTAAATAACAATCGTGGCTATTGTATCGTTAAAAATTATTTTTTTATTTTTTACAAACAAAATAAATATATTGAAAAGTATAAAAACAAAAAAATTATACTTTAGAAGTTAATCTAGTATCAAAAACGTTTGATTCAGCATGACACACAGTCCTCAGAAAAACACCACACAAAAGTGCCAGTGCTGCCAACTAAAACACACACACCAACAAAAAAAGTATTGGAGTAGCCCAAGATATAGCCAGATTGCAGCGCCACAGCACTAGCGAAAATTTAAATTTGCCGACTGAAATGCTTTCGGTTAACCGATGTTTTGGATAACTGGCTTTCGGATAAATGACACTCTACTGTATCTGCCCTATAAGACAACCCCCAAACTATCAACAGCCCATGAATTCAGTTTAGATCAGCGATTATCATCTGAATAATAATACTGTATAGCATATACAGAATTACGTCCTATTTATAATTTTTCAAATGAACAAATTTTATTTTCTTTCATCTGGCAGCACTGCCTTGTGATTGTTACATTGGCACTGATTCAGCATTTGGGTAATGACCTTGACTATTCACAAAAATGTCGTATGGGCTATTCTATTTTGTGCACATATCCTACTCTCTTCTAGTAAATAATTACAGATTGTCTGTCTTTTTATAATGGTTTTAATTTATATAAATTTCAATCTAATTCTTTTTTGTATCGGTCCTATAAGACAACCCTGGATTTTGGAGGCCTTTTTCTTTTTTTTATGATTCAACTATCATCTTATCTGCCAAGATATATGGTATTTTTAAAAAATTTTTTAATTTTAAATATATACAGTAAAAACTCTATATTACAGATCCTAATATAAATGACCTAGCATAATTACAGATGGTTTAATTCAATTTGGCCAAAAGTATAGGAAAATTATAAGAAAACTTACCCCACTATGAACTACCTGCAAACTGTTGTCCTTCCATTATTATGTACAGTACTTTTTGGTCACCATTTTATTTTGTCATAGTTATTGTTTTATTTAATTTTTGCAAAAAATAATATAATATTTATTTTTAATCATTTTTTTCAGTCTACACGTTTACATANATGTTGAAATTTTTCTCTGTTGCATGTCGCTTTGTGTTAAATTTTCGTCGACGTTAAGCCTAACATAAACTTTTTTAAATAACAATCGTGGCTATTGTATCGTTAAAAATTATTTTTTTATTTTTTACAAACAAAATAAATATATTGAAAAGTATAAAAACAAAAAAATTATACTTTAGAAGTTAATCTAGTATCAAAAACGTTTGATTCAGCATGACACACAGTCCTCAGAAAAACACCACACAAAAGTGCCAGTACTGCCAACTAAAACACACACACCAACAAAAAAAGTATTGGAGTAGCCCAAGATATAGCCAGATTGCAGCGCCACAGCACTAGTGAAAATTTAAATTTGCCGACTGAAATGCTTTCGGTTAACCGATGTTTTGGATAACTGGCTTTCGGATAAATGACACTCTACTGTATCTGCCCTATAAGACAACCCCCAAACTATCAACAGCCCATGAATTCAGTTTAGATCAGCGATTATCATCTGAATAATAATACTGTATAGCATATACAGAATTACGTCCTATTTATAATTTTTCAAATGAACAAATTTTATTTTCTTTCATCTGGCAGCACTGCCTTGTGATTGTTACATTGGCACTGATTCAGCATTTGGGTAATGACCTTGACTATTCACAAAAATGTCGTATGGGCTATTCTATTTTGTGCACATATCCTACTCTCTTCTAGTAAATTATTACAGATTGTCTGTCTTTTTATAATGGTTTTAATTTATATAAATTTCAATCTAATTCTTTTTTGTATCGGTCCTATAAGACAACCCTGGATTTTGGAGGCCTTTTTCTTTTTTTTATGATTCAACTATCATCTTATCTGCCAAGATATATGGTATTTTTAAAAAATTTTTTAATTTTAAATATATACAGTAAAAACTCTATATTACAGATCCTAATATAAATGACCTAGCATAATTACAGATGGTTTAATTCAATTTGGCCAAAAGTATAGGAAAATTATAAGAAAACTTACCCCACTATGAACTACCTGCAAACTGCTGTCCTTCCATTATTATGTACAGTACTTTTTGGTCACCATTTTATTTTGTCATAGTTATTGTTTTATTTAATTTTTGCAAAAAATAATATAATATTTATTTTTAATCATTTTTTTCAGTCTACACGTTTACATATGCCCAGTTTTGTTTTATTTTCTGACTGATTAATTTTGTTCATTTTTAGTTTTGTTTTCTCTACAAGTGATGAGTTATTATAGCCCACCAGTGGTCAAGCAGATAAAACCAACTATATTGATATTTCATCATGGGTTTGTGCATCATCAAAGGACTGGTTACATGTAGTTTTCTGGGTGTTTTTCACATTTCTAACACCTAAATAGAGATCAGTTTTCCATAAAAGTCCTCCTGGGAGGCATTCCCCTCAGCAGATTATCCATGTATCACATTGCTGTAGCAAATCAAACCAAATCTTGTATTTGTTTGTAAAGCAAAGCCATGGACCATAAAAAATAATGAAAAACTTTAGATTTAACACAAAAAATAGATATAATTCACCAGATTGAAGATAGAAAATCTCAGTTTCTGATTGGTAAAGAAAGTTTATGAGTAAGCAGACAATTTCAAACAGTTTTAAAGCAAGAAAAAAAACTACAACAGGTTTTTCTTAAAAATATTTTAAAAAGAAAAATAAAATAAAAGTATTGTTTTTACAAGTTTAATAAAAATTTGACATATATACTTTACAACTGAAATTTTGTCCACTACATAATTAATGTTTGACCACAATATCGATATGCAGTAATGGACAAGTTGATATTACTATATACGGTAGAATCTCATTATATCAGTGGTAATAAGTCTGGTGAAATTAGTTAAAATACATTGATTTGGCATCTGAACTTGGAGAAAACATCTGCAAACTGCAGATATTTTCTCTACATTTGTTATAGAGATCCATGCTAATATGATTCTGCTGTATAGTAATAGACTTTTGATATAACAAACAAATCCATAATAACAAGTAATCACAATAAAACAGATACAGTATTTATATATATCACCCATTCAATCTGTCCGTCCGTCCCATATCCATTTGATAACGGACACTAGAGGCACCCCTATCATGTCATATTTCAAACATTCAAATTAACAATTTTAATTTTTATTTAAATTAACAATATGAATTATTATTATTCATTTGGCAATAAATTATTATTTGGTCAATATAACAATATAAATAATTCAGTATATTTGTAATAGGAATTTATTATTTCAGGGGCTTATATCTCGCGAAGGGTCGCGAGTAGGGGTATGGTTTATTTGCCTTTTTGTTCGCACAGGAGGCTACAGTTTGGGGGGGTCGCCACCTCTTCACCTAATCTTACCATTGGGACTTTAACAGCACTGTACAGCATATTGATAGGAACAAAAAAGTCAAAGGAACCGTGCCTCATGGAAATTTGTAAACAACACCCACTAGGGGGCGTCCCGGGCTACTAGTTTGTTATAACATACAATTTCTTCAGTCCTGTGGTCTGTTATATCAAGCTTTTACTGTGTATATATGTATATATATAAATTTTCATAATGATATTGTATTATTAATTTTAGGAAGAACTTTCAAGTGGATACATATATAAGTCATCTCATTACATCTTTTCTTTCGGTTTTACATCAGCTTCATAAAAGATTGACTGAAGAGAAAGATGTAAATTTAGAATTTCTTAGTAAACTTTTAGGAAAACTTTGTATTTTAGGTTATGCAAGTAAGTTTTTTATTTTAATTTTTTACTTAGATTTGATTTATTATTTTGTAATTCAGATAATGAGGTAGAGTTAGTTTTTGATTCATAAGTTTGAATGTTATAAAGAAATATTTTATAACAGTTTAAAGTTAACAGAATGTTATTAATAGTTTATGATGTATATAAAATGTATTATATAATTTCATAAATTTACAAGCAAATTTCATTTATATTGTTTTAATTGTGAAAATACAATAAGAACCCTAATTATCTGAGTTCAAATTAACTGTGGTTCTACATTATTTGAGGCAAACCGTTAAGTGAATATACCAATTTGCTTGTAATTCTCCTAATACATAATTTATGCACTTTGTGCATAAATACTGTATTAGGAGTTACTTTACTCTTGAACTTTTAAGAATTATAAGCAAATTCCTCACTACCTGGCCACCTGCATTGTGGGCCTTGCCAAACTCACAATCATTATGAAAAATAGACCCACAGGACGGAAAGAACAAAACAAAATAGTGGTTGATGCTGAGATAACTGGAGAACATTGAGACAAAGATGGAAGGTGCTGGTATAAAACAGGCACAACAAATCCCTTGCTAATGTCATTTTTACTTTCCCAGCCGTTAACAAATTATGTCAATTGGTCAATTGGAAATTATGTCAATTGGTCAAAAAAGACCCCCAAGATTTTTAATTTTTGTACTCAAGAGATCTTAAAACATCAAGAAATGCAAAACAATTTTAGGGTTCTTCCATATGTAGTGATGATAGTGTATGGGAGGCACAATTTTGTTCACTCTGTTTAAAGCTTTATAATGCCTGTGCTTTTTGTCAAAATTTCTGGAATTTTGCAGTGAATTTGTATATTAGGGGATCAATTCTATTAAATTTTGGTGATTTTGATTGAAACGTTGAGGGGGTGGAGAGATAAAGGTGGTCATGTGTATCTCCAGTAGGGTCAGACTTGATGATGATTTTACTTTTGTTGCTTAGACACTATATAGTGTAATCAATTCGAACACTTGGCATTCCTTTGTCTTTTATTTTAGTTCAGTTGATGCGCATTTTAAATTACATGTTTTGGGCATAACATACCCCTCTTCAGCCATCTAAAAAATATAACAAAATATATACAGTACATAAAAGGTAAAAAATACATATAAATGATTAAGATTTTTTTTTTTCAGACATATTTCAGGATTTTTTACGAACTGGGCTCTATTGGATGTGTACATAATATACAACTTACACATTTATTATTGTATATCTATTTGGACAAATATCATAAATATAGTATTAATCATTTCAATACATTGATTTGCACAATCCATATATCTATGCTATCAATGTACCTTCATTATTTGTTTTTTGGGCCAATATAATTTATGCATTTTAAGGGTAAGTATACCACCAGTATGGAACTTTATGTTCATCTATTTCATTATGCCTGAAATGTGTAATTTAAAATGCGCATCAACTGAACTAAAATAAAAGATGAAGGAATGCCAAGTGTTCGAATTGATTACACTACATAGTGTCTAATCAACAAATGAAAATTACGGCACGTTTTTGGATTATCAAATGATTTTACTTGTTATTAGCACCTTTTTTTTTTATGAAGCCCATCCCTATCCTCAAAATAAAGCTTTTTGCCATTTTATAAAATTTAAAAATATAAAAAGTTTTTGTAATAAAATATGATAACAGATGGTGCCACCAAATGTTTCTGGAAAACTTAAGCAACTTGTTGCTGGATTTTTTTATAATGTTGATGAGGAACGATACAATACATTTATAATTATTTACAATTATTATTGTTGAATTTTCTTTAAAAACAGTAAAATTGGTTGTATGAGGTGGAAAATAAATGCTGAAGATTGTAAACACAATCTATAAGAATATTATTAATCAAATGTTTTCTTGAAATCTGATTAATATAATTTGCATACATACTTTTGCCTTTTTACAAATAATGTGAACCTACACTCATATTAACAAATATGACATTATTTAATGTCAAAGTAAACAAAAGTGTCCTGTTTGCATTCTCCTTTTTAAATTTATTTAGCTCCCTTTATAGTTCATTGGAATTGCCAGTTATTTCTTTTTCAACTGAATGGTGATAGGTAATCCTTACAATATTCATTTTTGAAAATATTTATTCTTTATTAACCTTTAGTTGTGAGGATTTATCTTCCTCCTCATACCACTCATTACCAGTATAACAGTCATTACTCACTGATTCCCATAATTTGGTAAAAATAATCATACTTGTTTTCATCAATCTTTCTTAAATGTGATATGTATAGCTCACAATTATTTCAATTTTTCATATTTGAGGAGTTTTCAGTCTTTACTGAAAACTCCTGAAATATTTAAAAGTTTTCCTCAAAAACTTTAAAAGTTTGATGTTGTTATGACCAGAAATATGCCATAGGAAATTAATTCTTGTTTATCATTTAGCCTATTGTAAATTTAGTTTTATTATACCTCATATCACAATTACAGTTTCCAAGAACCTATCAACAATGTTAAGTGAGGACTTGCTATACTATTTTTCTTTTTCTTTCTACAAACAAATTTTTTTGTAATCTTTTTTCATTATTTTTCTTCACATAATATCCCATATTTTTTCTAATTACTTCAAAAATAAACTTTGTTCATTCTTTTTAAAGATATTTTACATTTATCAAGCATTTTGAAAATAAATACTTTTTGGAGGAACAAATATGCAAGAATGTCACTTTCTACAAAAAATTGATTCTCAATTGAAAATAAAATTTGGTGCCACATTTTTACTGTCTATAGTATCTGTAATGCATATTAAATGTGAAGAAATTTATTAATCATTCAAATAAATAAACATTGTTTTTACAGGCTTGTAGATCTGATACAACACAACAGGCTTGTAGATCTGATACAACAAACAGGCTTGTAGATCTATATTAAAAATCAAATTTATTATTATTATTTCTCATTAATAATTTAATTTAGTGATAATATTTGTTAAAAGTAACAAATTTTGAAGATAAAAAGTCTTATTTTTTGTCAAATTACTTTTTAAAGCTTCTGTATTCTCTTTTCAATTAATTCATTATTAACAACACTATAAATTACCAAAAAATGTTAGTACAGGTAACCCCCCGTATAACACGGCACTTCTATAGCACGGGTTCACTCTAACACGGTTCAAGAATTGGTACCATCCCCCGTATAACACGGTACTTTTATAGTACTGATTCACTCTGACATGGTTCGAGAAATGGGTAAAACCCTCGTACAACATGAAATGTAATAAATTTTTACATACTTAAGTACTAGTAGTTCACAAAAATAATAATTTTCGTGAACTATTAGTACTTCAGTGTGTAAATTTTCTTTTCTCGTCTCCATACACATGGTCCTTCGCGAAAATTGTTTCAATTTTGCCAGATCTCGACGCTTCTGCTTCTGGTGTTGCCAGATGTTTTTCCCTTATTCCATAAGTGCTTAGCACCATATAAGGAAATTTATAAAGATCTTTTAACTAGAAGCAAGCAATCTAAAATTACATACACTTTTTGCAAAAGGTAAAGCATGAATCTGAAAATAATGCAGAAAAATGCTCAGAGGATAACGATAACTTGCCAAAAATAAAACGCTCTCGGTTAATAGTGCTTTTAGTGATGACAAAGAAAACATTGTTTAATTTATATTAATATGTATCACTTAAGAAAATTTTAATAAAGATATTTAACTTAATTATGAAAATATAGTAGCATGTTTTTTAATTTTTGGAACCTAACCCTCCTTTTCGTACTAGTTCTTTGATTCGCATAACACGGCAATTTTTTGGAACGTAACTACCGTGTTATATGGGGGTTACCTGTAGTTTTCTGTTTTTAGTTATTTATATTTTGTCACAACTGAAATTTTATAATAAAATATTGTTGAAATTATACTTAATAGCAGAAAATTCTCTCAAAAACAGTAACAAATAAATATTAGTAAAACTTTTCAAATACAAAGCAATTGAATACACAAATCAAAACCAAAAAGGCAATTGTTCTATGTAAAATTCTGGAACAGAATGGCTTTGAGCATTCATTATGTTCAAACTGTTTTGAACAGTCAGTATGGCCTTCTCCCATTTGACAGAGATTCACCCAACAGAAACTTACTTGATAGAAATATAATAAATTTTTATTCTATTAATTATCTTATTACAAAATAACTATTACTTATAACATTAGCCATTTTGTATTACTAATATAATGAAATATGCAAACAGTAATAAATTATTATTATTATAGATAAAACACTTGATTATTTGTATGACAATGTTGTAAAAGCTTTGAAGAATGATTTTATTTGGAGAAGGATAATTCAACGTTTGATCCTAGGTGTATCATCTAGAACTATGGAATCTGTGTTAAAATCTTTACTACAGAGATTATCATGGTATTTATAATCTAATCCATAAATCAATAGTAATAATTCATTTAAATAACTTTAAAATGTTTTTTTAAGGTATGGCCAAGTTGAATGGTTTTTAGGAAATTCTATAAATTCTACTCAAAACATTCATTATTTATTGACTACAAAATTTTTAATTGTCAGCTATTTTGAAAAAGTAAGCAAAGATTTAATTTCATGAATAAATTTGTTTAGCATATTTGTTTTTACAGAATTATAATTATTAGATAAATATGTTTTTGTGGTGATTATAATCTATTAAATATCAAAGTTAAAAATAAATAATTAATTACAGTATTAGAATCAGTACAATTTTAAAAGAATCAAATCAAAATTTCTTACTTTTATAAAAGTATATGTATAATTTGTAATTACAATATAAATTATAGTATAATTTAATGTCATTTCAGTTATAAATTAAATATTGATTATTTTAGAAATTTTTTAAAATTTATCATTTTTATGTAAAAACCACATTACTAAGTTAACAATAAATAATTGGGCTGCAATTTAAAATATTAGACCTGTAAATTCCCACTGTCCATCTGTTGTCTGTCTGTCTTTCCTTAATCTTGAGAACAGCATTAGATAGATGAAAGCTAAGATCAAATATGGAAACCTAGGGACAGGAGGCTTAGATTAATTACAGGGTTTATCAGAATGACGTTTTAAAAATTGGGGGATTGTAGAGGATGAAATTTTGAACATTTTGATATAAGGAACCTATAGCCAGAAATTTGAACTAAAGTGTCTACAACAGTAGGAAGTGCTTGACCGCCCTTCAGTTTGGTAGCTACCTTTCTGTCCATTGACATCATGTTATTTCTGTGGATGGAAGACTGTAAACACACAACTACAGTGGTCTAATTGAGCCTGTGTACAGGACGTTTGTGTACTTAGTGCTTGTCGTCCTTCAGATCACCCCTTGCATCTACTGGTGTTGTGCTGTAAACACACAGTTAGTCAATGTGAGTTCCTTGTGTATGCAACAACTGTAGAAACAGTTCATAAGCTTATGGAGCGCATCTTTACAGCATTTAATACCATCAGAGGGGAGCATGGCATCTTACAGAGAGTCAGACAAAACATGGTTTGTCATTGCACATTATGTAACGAAGTTGGGTGGTTGTCACGTTGAACATTTACTCTAAAGTAGTGCAGCCACTGATTCAATGTACAGTTTGATTGTACTCTACTGTTTTGTCAATAAAACTTGTCATAAATACTGTATTCTGCTATTTCATTCAGCATACTGACCACATAGAATGTGCAAAGTGCTGTAGACTCTTTATCTCATTTCCAGCTATAAGTTCCTTACATTCAAAATTTCATCCTCTACAATTCCCCAAATTTTTAAAATGTCATTCTGATACACCCTGTATATACAAACTTCCAATGAAAACTGGCAGTCATGTTATTTCAATTCCAACATTTTCTCCTGAAAGGTGTTAGATAGATAACCTGCACGATTGTTAAAGGAAAAGTATAATGTACAGGGACAAACCACTACTAATTTGAGGTGGAGAGCATATATTTTAAATTAAATCAATTAAAAATATGATTAAAACTTGCAGCCTGGCTGGCATTGTATTATTGTGATGGCAATTATTGTGATGATGTCACAATAATTACTTATTTGGTATATAAAAATTCATCAATTTTTCTATGCCAAAAAGCTTAAGAAATTTTTTTTAAAATCTGGTATGAATTTATAGTAGGTAATAAACTTAAAACACTTAGATGGACATTAATAAGGATAAAAACACAATACTTACATACTATGTAGATTTTTAACTTATACAATCATTTTTATATATATAGATGTCTGTCTGTCCTTCATGCATTACTACGCCATTTATCCGATTGACATGAAACTTTGGAAAGTTGTTTAATACACTCTCGCAAAGGTTTCTGGCATAGTACATTTATCCTACAATAGATGGCGTGCATATATATATATGAGCATTTCAGCATGGTTAGGTGTTGAAACTTGAAATTTGGTACACAGTTAGGGTACGTCACGAGAACACACACTAACAAGGGATTTTTCGAAATCCCCCCCGCAGGGAAAGGGACAGGATTAAGGCTTCAACAATTGAAGTGTTAAGAGAAAGTAACGTGCAAGATTTACAGGCACAGATGCAGTTTTTTGCGTTAAATCGAACATAATTTTAGATCCATCTAAAAATTTTCTAATTAGTCTGAAAACAAGGAATCTAATTCTTGCATTCTGTGAAAANGCAGTGCCACAGTACTGGCGAAAATTTAAATTTGCCGACTGGAATTCTTTCGGATAATCGACGCTCTACTGTATAAGTTTTTTATTTATTAAAATATATTGTAATTATTTCATAAGAATAATAATAATAGATAAATTTGGTAGAAAAATTTAATTAAAATATGGCTAGCATTTTAACAGTATTAATTTTATGTTACCACAAAAATATGTTCTTGAACCTGTAATTGTAAATTATGATCTAAATATTATTATTATCACAATAAATATTTTTTCCTCAAATATTAAGGATATTATAATTCAAAATATCATTGGATATCTTGCACAATCACCAGAACGAAGAAAAATATTTTATAAGGTAAAAAAACTTATTTCAATTTAAATTTAAAAAACTTTCAAATTTCAAATTTACATTTAGGCCAGGAACACACATGCGTAAAATTGTGTGGCAGAAAACTGAATGTGAATCAGAAATCAGCTTTCAGTTCCGTTTCTGTTTTATGTTTTTATGCCAGAACACACATATGTAAAAATTCTGGCCAAATAGGAAACACCACTGCCACCAACAGTGCTAATTTTATTAATTTTTTCCTCTCATATAGGCTATCTATCCCTTTGTACCTTCCATTTTTTTTCCACTTTCTCTGCTATAATATAGAAAATTTAAATTGATAGACTTGTATTCCGAATTCAAATAAAGAACGTGTGATCTAAATACTAGGCCTATATATTGATTCTACTAGACATACCTGTTATTTGAAATTTTGCACCTATAGCCATCCATAAACATTGTTTAAATACAGTGTCTTTATACATGACACTGATGTGGTCGAACAGATTTAATAAACTCCTCTATTTCATTTATTTTTTGTTTTTTTGAGACCATCACAATTGTATGGTTAATCCTCATTGCCGCCATTGTTAGAATAAAACCGTGTGTCTACTTTGATGTCACAGAAAAGACTTCTCTTTATTGGAAGAATTTTGGTGTAAAAAGTAGAGACATGCTCTACTCAATTTTCAGTTCTGTTTCAGCCAAAATTTCAGAAAAATTTTTACATTTTCTGTTTTATGCTAGATTTTATGCAGAATTTTACGCATGTGTGTTCCTGGCCTTACATTTACAAAATAAAAATATAATTTTTGATTTTAACTGTTTTTTTTCTTTTTTCTTACTAATTAATAGACATTTAATAAGCTGTTGGATGTGTGGAGTGATGGCAGTGCCCTAAAACATCAAACATATCAACAACAATTATATCTTACCAGAATACTTATGATTTGCACAAGCTATTTAAAAATTCATGGTTTAGAAGATCATAAACAAGGTTATAATTGTTTGTATAAGTACTTGGTTTTAAAATATAAAATTTTATAATTGTTATTTATTTTTTAAAGATTATCTAAATAAACTGATGCAAGGAGTTCACAATCATATTGCCAGTTCTCAAGCTTCAATTCGTCTTCATGGAATGATTATTGGTGAATCCATTTCTCCAGTTATAGAATCTGAAGGACCTGAATTAAAATTTGAGGTAGAACTCTATTTAAATAAAATGAAAGTTATTTTGCACAACTTTTTATCTTAAAAGTTTCTGTATAAATTATTAAAACTGTCCAAATATTATATATAATGGATGGGCAAGCAAGAGTTCAGTTGGAGCCGAAATGTAGGTTTTGCAAAATGCACGGGAGCCACAGTTTTGTACTTTTTTATTTTGTACCACAGTTCTGTACCACAATTTTACTATATAATAAACTTGTCATAAATACTGTATTCTGCTATTTCATTCAGCATACTGACCACATAGAATGTGCAAAGTGCTGTAGACTCTTTATCTCATTTCCAGCTATAAGTTCCTTACATTCAAAATTTCATCCTCTACAATTCCCCAAATTTTTAAAATGTCATTCTGATACACCCTGTATATACAAACTTCCAATGAAAACTGGCAGTCATGTTATTTCAATTCCAACATTTTCTCCTGAAAGGTGTTAGATAGATAACCTGCACGATTGTTAAAGGAAAAGTATAATGTACAGGGACAAACCACTACTAATTTGAGGTGGAGAGCATATATTTTAAATTAAATCAATTAAAAATATGATTAAAATTTGCAGTCTGGCATTGTAACAATGTCACAATAAATAATTGCTTGTTTAGTTTTTAGTTTGCCATTCAAACAATTAAATAAAAATTAATTTTTAATCAAAAAATTAAATATTTGTTGAGTTATCAATTAATAATTAAACAATTTATTAGTCAAGCAAAATTTATAATTACAGTAGAGCGTCGATTATCCGAATCAATTGGGGACTGGGGTTGTTTGGAAAATCAATATTTCGGATAACCGATTATGTACGAAAAAATATATTAACCTATCTCATGTTGAAATTTCTCTCTGTTACTTGTCGCTTTGCGTTGAATTTTCATCGATGTTAAGCCTAATGTAAACTTTTTAAAATAATAATCGTGACTATTGTATCGTTAAAAATTATTACTTTATTTTTTACAAACAAAATAAATATATTGAAAAATATAAAAACAATAAAAAATTATACTTCAGAAGTTAATTTAGTATCAAAAACGTAAAATATTTGAGTAGCCCAAGACATAGCCAAAGATTNTAGCATGGAAAATAATATAAGTAAAATATGGCAATTGGTATAATTTTGACCCCTCTAGTTTGCATTTCTCAATTTTTTGACATTCCACAGATAAATTATATAAACAGTTCTTAAGATCTGTTACAAGGTTATATGTAACCTTGTAACAGATGTGTTATCTGTCAAGCCAAACAAAATGAACTGCTTGTAGCCTAATATCTTAACTGTGTGTGGAATCCTTATTCTGCATTATACAAGTATTTTCCAAAATAAAATACAGTGGAACCTCGGTATACAACCTTAATCCGTTCCCGATGTTTGGACTTATACCGAATTGGACATATACCAAACCAACCTTTCCCATAAGAAGTATGTAAAAATGATTAATCCGTTCTCGTGTAAAAAAAAATGGCTGGCTTTAAACACCTCACTTTCCTGGCTAGCTCCTGCTTGATTTTTCGTGAGATCAGCGTGTATCTTTTTAGCTTTCTCGCAAATAATTGCTTCCGATACGCTGTCTCCAGCACTGTTTTTCAGTTATCCAAAGCAAAAGCAATTTCTTGACATGATCTAATGTCTTCGATCTCTGTTTAGAAATTTATTTAACCCCTTTCGCAATGTCAGCAGATTTAATAATGTCTTTATTTTTCGCGATTGTCCATATCATCGTTCTCGGAATACGGTAAACAACAGTTAAAATCTCGAACATGCGTGCCACCTTCGTATTCCTCAACAATCTCTTTCATCAGTTCCATTGTAACTCTAGTCATTTTTTTAGTTTTCTGTCGCTTTTCATTTGCCTTTTTGCAGTTTGTGATTAATAAAAATAATAAAATTTTACTTATGAATTAAAACCAGAAGAAATTTAACAAAGTTATAAACCGTTGCACCGCGAACGTCTAGTCTGGTCTAGTATACCGATAGTGCTACTTGTTCATTGATGGTGCGTATAATTGAATTATGTCGTATACTGAACAAAAGTCGTATAACGAGCAAAATTTGTTTCGTCCAAACAGCACGTATTCTAAAGCAGACATATACTGAGGTACCACTGTATTTAGAAAAGCTACATATTCATAACTGCAATGATCTCTTTTAAGAACTAAAATAAATTCTTCATACAATAACCATTGATCTTGCAGCATCAGAAAGGTTTACAAAATTGATTATGAAATATTTGGATAAAGTAAGTCGTCTTACGATTCAAAATGCAACAACCCGATGAAGATTGATTTTGTTATCTTTCCGATTAGTTTCTCGGAATTCCACTCCATCATTTCTGAGAAATAATCATTTATTTAATCTTATATGGCCAATGATAACAATGTTAAGAAAAAATTGTACTGAAAATCAAATAATTTGGAAATATTTAAAAGGAAATTAAATACAGTCAAAGCTAAGTCTGATTAATATTAAGTGACCGATAATTAGTTGTGATTGCAAAAAGGCAGTGTACTAGGATTTTTGTTAAGAATTTTAACTTTTTATGAGTATGTAGCCAACGTTGTCAAATTTCAATATAAAAATTATAACTTACATGATGTTTTTTATGTGCAGATGTAGCATTACTAATAATCAAAAATTGAAAAAATTAATTTAGAAGTTATGAAATGATTTAGATAGATTACATGCCAGAAAAATGAACATAATTATATTTAGAAACACTCATTCACAAACTTAGTTACACATGTGAATATTAAATATAAAACTTTGTGCTAATTAACAAATGCTTAAATATTAAATGAACAATCTAACATTTGATTATTCATTGTGATGAACGAGCACAAAGTTTATGCTAATAATTCAATTCCTATACTCCAAATAGTATAAATTAATTTAATGGAATAATTCTAAAATTTATTCTAAATAAATAATCTGGTTAGACAGCTAATTTACTTTCTATATCTGGAACATAACTTCTTGCACAATATTCAACAATGAAATGTTCCCTTCTATTATATTTTCCAAATTATGTGCTTAAACTTAGGTGCATTTTAGAGGATTTTAAATTGAAATTTTTATAGTAGTAAGCAAATTGAATACAGAGAGTTTGAGCGAAGTGAGAAGGAGTTGAGCTGAAAGAGTAGCAAAACATGGACGTGCACATGTACACGATCTTTATTATAATACTCTGAAAGACTGTGATCAGTAGCGTCAGAGTATTAGCACATCTAGTACATCAGAACACTTAAGTATTACAGTGATCAAGTTGGTGTCACAAATGTATCAATAATTATTATGAGAAACAAAATATAAATAAATAAATAAAATTAAAAGAAAATAATAGAAATGAAATAACAAAAAGTGTACTGTAATAAATACAGTGGAGTGATACAATGCAAATGATTTAAGTGACATTGAACAGTATCTGTGATACTGTTCAATGTCACTTAGTCACTGTTCAATGTCAAGATACAGTAGCACATTATACAAAGCCAAAATAAACATTACAAAAAAAGAAAAAAAACAAGTGAAACTATATTACAATAAATGCAACTATAATACAATATAATAATTAGTAGCAAAGCAAGTAGAGGTTGAGTAAGCAAATGGGGGAAGTTGGTGTAACTAGCAAGTGGAAGTTGCAGGTTCAAATCCCACTCTGGGCTAGTTCTTTTCTCCCAGACAGTTCTAAATTATTTAATAAATTATTAAAAATTTGGTTAAAAATCAATGTATTATTATATATACAGTGGATTTCGCTTAATTGAGACACATTGGAACTAATCCATTTTGGTTTAATTAAGTGGCTGCCCAATTAAACAAACTAATAATAAAATACATAGGTAAATAAGTAGGTAAAAAATAATAATTAGGTACCTATTTTAATGCTTTATTAAACCAAAATACAGAAAATATTTTTACTATAAATTTGCCAGTCTCATGACAATAGATAACTGATTCGCATAATGCTAGTTGCCAAATATAAGTAGTAACATAAATAAGGGTTGATCATTTGAGCCATTTTTGATCGAACAATTTTTCCTTTCTTTCTTTTTAGTTAGAACATGTTCTAACTAAAAAGGGAGAAAGAAAAGAGCTTGTCCAAAAGTCATTTTACGGTCTTCCTTTGAGCACAGTTGCCTTTACTTGGAGATGGGTTACTTTGGTGGGAGTGTCTATAGAATCCGCCAGCTCGGTGCTGGTCTCAATAATCAGATGGCTGCTGTCCTAATCTAGACATAAGTATGCACACATTGCCTTTCAAGGGAACTCTAGCTGTCTTCTAATGCAGTCAAGAGACCTCGAAAAATTGTCTGGGGATCTTTGTTCCTTCACTTTTAAGGGGATCATCTGGTCAAATCCAGAACTGGGTCAGTAACTTGCATTCAGGTCTGCCTCAGATGAAATCCCCATGTGATATATCCCGCTATGCTGACTCCCTCCAGAAAAACCGAACTGCCCGAGCAAGACAAAATTGCTTTGTCTCTGCTAATCGTTAGGCCTACATGACATTAGTGTATGTAGTGCCTACATATTTTCAGAAGATTACTAAAATAGATAAAAAATTGCTAAATTCATTTTCTGTTACTGTCTCAATTAAGTGATTAAATTATGTATTAATTTATTAGTTTGGTTTCTGTTCTTTGAGATTTGGCCCAATAAGGTAGCTGCCCCAATTAAGCGGAATCTACTGTATATATTTTTTTTATATATAAAGTATATTTATATACTGTATAATGTAAAATACACAGTCAACCCCCTATAACACAGGTTTATATAATGCGGATTCATATATCGCGGCAAAAAAATTGCGACTGTATTCATATAAAGATGCTAAAAGATATTCATAAAATGCGGTAAAACGTTATGGTCAACTTGTGTCGCNTCCTCAAATATTAAGGATATTATAATTCAAAATATCATTGGATATCTTGCACAATCACCAGAACGAAGAAAAATATTTTATAAGGTAAAAAAACTTATT